CTGACACATAGCTTGAGGTGGGCTTAGTACCTAGATTTCCCCTCTTATTCTGGAGTCATTAGCTGTCTTCTATACTGATGGAGCCAGGCCAAGCCCAAGGGAGCCCAGCAGCACATCCTCATCTGGCGTACTGGCTGAGGAGGCCCAAGAGGGAGCAGTAAGCCATTATGGGAGCAGCAAAAATTGACAGGGGCCATGTAAATTGTGAAGACTGGGGAAATGATGCCCTGGCTTACCTCCAGGGGTATCAGGTAGGCACCCCCATTGAGTGCTCCAGATTGGGGTTCCATGGGTCAGAAGGAGGGCCCAGTGGTTTCACATAGGCAGATGACTGTGCTGAGGACCTTTGGTTCTGCAGCACCCCCACATTCACTCATTTGTGCATTCATACATGCATGTATACATGTAAACACCTATGGTTCTACTTTATTCCTTAATTGTGTGTGTGTCTGTGTGTGTATGTTCTTTTTGTCTTCCTTTCTCCCATAGCCACCTTGAAGATGTCACAGTGGATAGAGATTCCTCCCAATTAAAATGGTAGCCCTTAACACTGCATGATACCCACTCCTAAGTTGCCCCTCTGCCTTCTAGCTCTCCTCCTGACCCTGACTACGGTGAGAAGTAGATATCATTTTTCCTTGAGTATATGTTTTTAGTGTCCAGTATGAATGAAGCCAAATACAGAGGTACATCTGCTTTTGACTTTTACATGTGATAGATAGACTCTTTTATACTTTTTAGCTTTCACAAAACACATCCCCTGGACTTTGCATCTCTGTGCAGAGTCAACATACTGCCAGATTCTTTTCATTTCCCCTCTGTTACTGTATTCATGCACGGTAGAGAAAACATGCTTGCAAAGGTATTCCGAAATTTATTTCTCTATACTCACACAAGTACACAGACCAGGAATGGAGTTCAGTGAGGATAGATGCCAAGATATGATGGTTGTGATTCCCCCCACAGAAATGAGAGCAGTTGAGGGTATCCTCTGGTTTCACATAGGACTGTTCACAGAATGCTGCCTCTTTCTGACAGCCTCAAATTACATTTGTGGGATTTTCAATAGATAATTAGGGTTGATTTTAATGCTACACTTTCTTCAGAAATTACAGTTGATCCAAGAAGTGATATCCTAGCCTGAAAGCTCTCTCTCAGTTGACTGGGTGGGTTGAATATAGACACTGCCACCTTTTGGTTATCATTTTGACAATCACCCCAAAATCCAGTGAAGGACAGTTGGCTATCTTGTTGCAGGGCACACAGAGTGGACAGAAAAAGGGGATACATCTGTGATCCTGGGTCATCTCTAGATGCTGGGGTTATGGAAGAGTGTTCTTTATCCTTCTGAATCCTCTTCCTTATACTCTGAAAGTCTGTTTTATCCTATGAAATGGGCAGTGGTTCTGGGATTTCAGCACATCCACAGAAGGAGAGACTGCTGAGGCACATAGATAACTGGCATGTGGCAATGGTGTCCTATTCTGTAGCTTAGTAGGAAAGGCTTTTGAATGAGGTCTTGATGGTGGGGCCCAAAGTAGGAAGTGCATGGATGAGCACCTAAGCAAGATGTGTTTTTCTCAGGGGATTGGGATCATTTCTTGAAACTTGAGGTCAGTGTCCTTTAGTGTAGGGGAGAGAAGAAATAGTTGGGACTAGGACTCTGGGAGGCTGGCCATCTGCTAGTGGTGGGAACTTTAGGCTCCCAGAGTTACTTGTAAGAAGTGATCCTGGCTCCACTTAGTCAGAAAAAGTCTGTTGGTGACCCAGGGAAGACAGACAGTTCTTTTGGGTCTTCACTTTATTGGTGTGGAGTACAGTTCTGCCTTCCTGTCCTCCCCATTATCTCCTGTTCCCTCTTGGGCCCAACTCAATGGACAATGGCCCTCCTGGCTGTTGAGGACATGGAGTGCACTCTGCCTTAACTGTTAGAGGGTGATTGGGCTATAAGGGGTCGGAGGCACACTCATGCAGCCTGGTGCCAATTGCTCCACATCCCTTATGTTTGTCTCTTGACATACTGAGAAATGTGGTGTCTTGAAGAGGTATTATTCCACACAAGCCTGCTTGTAAGAATTGTCCTGCCATTGCCCCTGCATCACATATGAGGAGGACAGGTATCTCTAGTTTGGCTCCTGTCTCCCCTCCTCACTGACCCAAGTGTGCAACTTTCCTTGCCTGGAGACCATTCCTTGTCTGGAGGGTATGGCCATGTGAAAGGAGCTGGGTCCTCAGGCCACATTGTCTTGTGCCACTGGGCCACCGTTTTGGGGGTATTGCATCCTGAGACCTCTGAGTCAAGCTGACCTTTTAGTGGCTTATGTCATGCCAAGTCAAAATGTTACCTGGTAAGCAGAGTTTAAGTATGGCTCCAACTCTCTGCCCAGATTTAAGGTATTTTTCTATGGTCTCAACCAGCTCCAGTGCTAAATATTCAGCCATGGCTTTTAGGTATGATTATAGGGTAATTATCAGAGCCATTTCTCCTTGTTGAGAGGAAAGTTGAGATGACCCTACTGGGAAGAAGCCCTGCTAGATGGAGGACCAGTAATAAGAATTGGGAGCCCCAAGGATTCAGCCAGGATAAACACTGGCTGGCTTTTTCTTTAGTAGCAAATGGCAGAGGGACAGGATATTGGGGAGAAAAGAGGAGGGGGAGGAATGCTGGCATTTCTGGCATAATACTGCCATCTAGAAGACCTTTTTTGGCAATCCTATGAATCCTTGCTCATGGTTGTCTGAGGAGTGACTTGGGAGTGAAGTGGAGTTTCAGGAGGGAACAGAGCTATCTGGATGCATGGGAGAAGTGTGGCCGATGACCATTTTGGGCTGTCAAGCTTTGGAGACAAACACCAGGTCTAGACACCAGAGTGCCTTGTGGGACCTGTACAGGAAGCTCTGGATCATGATTCTGTTGGTGGTGATGGCTGGGTAGGGTTAGCATAAATCTCTGCAAAGAAGCCCGACCTTGAGGTTATGGTCGTTTCACCACCTGCCCCTTTACTGGCTGCAGTGCCTGCTCCTGAGATTGCCATATGTCTGGCAGAAGCCTGTTCTTAGTGCTGTATGTCCCATACCAAAGAGAACCAATGCCTAGACCCCTGCCTTTGCAGACTTCTCCTTCTTAGCCACTTTCCCTCAAAGTCCCAGGAGCCTCAGGGCAATGAGCAGGAATTGGCCTTGCTTCCCATTCACTGCTGGCTCTCTAGGTCTGAACTGTGCTTGTCTAGGTAGCTTGGAACCAAGAAGGATGAGGAGTCCCTGCCAGAATCTAACAACTGTTGGGTTCTGTCATCATCCTACTTTTCTACATGCCCATTTCTTTTTTTGTTGTTCTTAACTGTACTTTGGGTTATGGGGTATATCTGTACATCCTGCATCCTGCAGGATTGTTGCATAGGTACATACATGCCATGGTGGTTTGCTGTCTCCATTCCCGACCCCCTCGCCTACAACAAGCATTTCTCCTGGTGTTATCCCTCCCCATCCTCACCACACCCCTGTTGTCTCTCTGCTCCCCCCCCCCCCCCCCCCACTTAGCCCAGTGAATGTTGTTCTCTTCCCTGTTCCCAAGTGTTCTCATTGTTTGTCACCCACCCAAGAGTGAAAACATGCGGTGTTTGGTTTCTGTTCTTGTGTCAGTTTGCTGAGATTGATGGTTTTTAGATTCATCCATGTCTCTACAAGGGACACGAACTCATAGTTTTTAATGGCTGCATAGTATCCATGGTGTACATGTGCCACATTTACCTTGTCCAGTCTTTCATTGATGGGTATTTGGTTTGGTTCCAGGTCTTTGCTATTGTAAACAGCGCCGCAATGAACATACATATGCATGTGTCTTTATAATAGAACGATTTATAATCCTTTGGGTATATACCCAGTAATGGGATTGCTGGGTCAAATGGAATTTCTATTTCTAGATCCTTGAGGAATCGCCACACTGTTTTCCATAATGGTTGAACTAATTTACACTCCCACCAACAGGGTAAAAATGTTCCTTTTTCTACACATCCTCTTCAGAATCTGTTGTCTCCACATTTTTTAATGATCGCCATTCTAACTGGCTTCATGCCCATTTCTTTCTGTGCATCCATCCCTAGCCTCCTCCCCATTTCTCTCAGATCCACTCCTCATCAAGCAGTCCTGCTGGGGCCAAGATGAGGTACATACTCTTGGGTGCACAGCCCATTTTATAGACTACATCTTTCTTTTTTTTTGAGACAGAGTTTCGCTCTTGTTACCCAGGCTAGAGTGCAATGGCGCGATCTCAGCTCGCTGCAACCTCCGCCTCCTAAGTTCAGGCAATTCTCTTGCCTCAGCCTCCTGATTAGCTGGGTTTACAAGCACACACCACCATGCCCAGCTAATTTTTGTATTTTTAGTAGAGACGGGGTTTCACCATGTTGACCAGGATGGTCTCGATCTCTTGACCTCGTGATCACCCGCCTCGGCCTCCCAAAGTGCTGGGATTACAGGTGTGAGCCACCGTGCCCGGCCTAGACTCCATCTTTCTAATTGCCTATTCCTGGAAAACATCTGGGGATAGGTTGTGCTTTTGTCAACTCTTAATTGACTGGGCCTATGCTCACTGGTCAGTGCTTGCCCAAGGGCCTGGTAGGAAGACTCAAGACCCAGCTCTCTACCTTTTTGTTTTCTCTCTTCCCAGATGAGTGCCAAAAACTGCTCCAGGCCTTTCTCAATTCCATACTTATGAGTTTCCTAAAGTGTTGCCTAGTGGTCTTACGTGGGAAGAGACTGTTAGGGTCAAGAAACCTTCTTTTTTCTAAGCATCAGGGCAAGACCTGGACATACCAGGTCTGATTGATCCTAAGCTCAAGGCTGTGGAGCATGATGCTCCAAGAGTGTTTCTTAGGTTTGAGCCAATGCTGTG